CATTTTTGTTTAACAAAGACTAACAATGAGGTTTTTGACTGGAGTTAAAGAAATTTAGGCATTTATTTTTTTTTTTTTTATAGACATTTGGAAACAAACATTTTCACTTTGTATTGTCACAATATGACAAAATGCTAAGATATGACATCAACTGGGTCAAGATTTAAGAAAAGTACATGTCAACTATCCTGGTTAATTTGGTTTGTGAATTCAATTTAAATTTTTCTGAAATTACCAACCAATCTTGTAATTTGTATATAATTCTAAGATGAAACTCTTAAGAGCAAATCAAAATCAGGCCAACTTTAAATCCGATACAATTGAAGAACAGTTAAAAATGCTGATGCTAATAAAATATTCTTAAAAAAGGATAATCAACAATTTCAAATATTTATATTAATTTAATTTTTTAAGTTCAGATGCAAAAGTACAGACACTTTGAAATTTGAATTTAAAAATTCTAAATATAAAACTTACATACAAACTTAGCACATTTGTATATTAACATTAAATACTTTATCTCTATTCAATGAAGAAAAAAATTAATTGTACAAAATATAATGAAAAGTGTTTTTTTTTTTTTTTTTTTTTTTTTTTGTACAGGAGTGCAAATGAAGGCCAATCACAGTTGGGATCAGATCATGTTCCTTCCATTAGCTGCATAGTAAGTAGTATGCGCTTCACCAGGCCTACATAGTTTTGAATTCAGGGTGGTCCTCTATCCAAGAATGAAGAGCCTAGTCTGTCTTACTGTTTAACCTATAGCTGGAGGATTCAAACTTTTGCAAGGATATTTGCATGAATGTAATGAAACTCAATTTGAATTTGAGTCTTTAATTTCTCTTTCCAAGTCACTATCCATTACATCACCCACACATTGTAAAGAATGTACAGGTGGTATAATGGATAGCGACCTGAAATCAGAGCCGAGTTCAAATTCAAGTTGAGTTTCATTACATTCACTTTTGCACAAATATCCTTGGGGAAAGGTATGAATTCATCTATTTCTACCCAGATATATGTTAAATAGTAGAGCAGACTAGGGGCTTCAGCATTGGTTGATAATAAGTTAAAGAGAAAGAAAACTGAATTCTAAAAGTGTATGTAGCCCTGGTGAAAGACATACTATATGAAAGGATCATAGCATTCAAAATGAATATGATCTCTAATGTGTTAAATGAGAATCGAGATATAAAAATGTTGATAGTGCTTGCAGCAATTTTCATATTTCTAGTGTTGGTACCTGATTTATTCCAGGTGACCAAAGAATGATAAAAGACTGTATTAAAGGTTTTAAATTATTAATCTAGACAACCAATTATTTACTTGTACAGTCAAATTGGAGGTTATTAAGAAAGAATTACCAGTTTTAACATCAGACTTACTGTTAATTTACTTAAAGCTCATATAAAAATTAACCACCAAAACTTGATTGTAAATGCAAAAGACAGGTGACTTGTCCTTTAGCACCAAATATTAAAAAGTTAAAAAAAATTCCAGTGAAAATATTTTTCTTTAAAATAAATTAAAAAAATATAAACAGAAAATACATTTATTTATTATAATCAAAACACTGAAAAAAAAATTCATAACATTTGTATTAATATTTACTTCCACTGAATATTAAAAAGTAGAATGTACAATTCCACTGAATTCAGTCCTTTGTTCAAAAGTAGAAATTTTCAAATCTATCGCTTTTTGACTTTGTTAATGTAGACAGAGAGAAATGTCTTCCAAAGGAAACTGGTGAACAGGAAGCAAGGAAATGTGAAAATAAATTCCAAACCAAAACCCATAATTCATTCAAATGTAGGCAAGAGAGAGAGCAAAGGGCATTTTTACAAGTAGATTTTTGGCCATCTGCTTGAGGGCATGAGCTTCTAAGATTAAAATCTATACCCCCAAAATAAATGTCTTAAGAAAGAAATATTTTACTTTATTAGTGTACAAAAATATAATTTAATCATCAAAATATTTTCTGCTAACTGGTTCTTGGAGGAAATTGTTTTGACAATATATGGATCCCTTTTCCTTATTTAAAACTATTCATTAAAAAAAGCAAACAATTTCTTACAGCAACTAGTATTTTATTCTGAATAATATACATGTCCATGATTGAGTAGAATTTCTATAGTGTCATTCACACATACTATATGCTTATACACAAGAACTGTTCCATCTCTCTCATTCATATTACATATGTGAAATATATTTTACACACACAATCAAATATTCTTATATCCCTAAAGTTGGTTAGTGAGTGAAGAAAGCAAATTATATATATATATATATATATATATTCATAAAATCATATATTAAAAAATATACAGAATAGCAATCCCATGGAATAGCTGAAGAGAGCCACAAAGAGATCAGCCCTTCAGATGTTTCGCAGAGATAAAGGCTCAAATATGGGTGTGGATTGTCGCATTGAGAGACATTACAATTAAAATAATCTCATCTCAAAAAGAGAAAATATTTCCAGTTATTAGTGAGATTTCAACTGTCAGTTAACATTGAAAAGAAACTAAAAGTTGGAAAAATACAATTAAAAAAATATCACCCAACATGGCTCAATTTTGTTATGCATATATTAAGAGTTGACGTTTCAAAAATACCACAAGCAATTTTATAGTTAAAACTAAAATTACCACTTAAATCTAACAAAATATATATTTAGTTAATGAAGGTTATCAAAGAAAAGCTTTTCACTGCTGACCATCATGAAACAAAGATGTTTTCTTAGTTTCCTTATCTGAAAGAGCAGGAAACTAAGACCTTGAGAATTATTAACCCAAAGCAGTCAACAGCTTTCAATTTGTGTGGACACATTGACAAAGCAACAACACAAAGCTAAAGTAGAAAGCTTTGGGAAACTTTTACTTAATGACAGTCACAACAACAATGTTACTTTAATCTGAGAGGCCATCATCAGCTCAGGTGTATTTGACAAGCCTCCAGAAAAAACTTCAACACTATCTGTTATTCCTGCAGGCATGAAATACACTCTGCAATTACAGTGAGCAAAAAGAAAAAAAGTGTCAATGTTGTAGATTCACCTTCAAATAAAAGTTATCTAATGCAAAAAAAAAACAGAAGAACTACACTTTGCCAACATTTTTTGTAGCTCATTGATGAAAGAGAAAGAAAAAAAAAAAAAAGTAAGCAGTGAAATAAACCTTAAAATCTAATTTTCTTAAAATTGGTATGTGATGAAAATGAAATCAACTTCCTCGTCATTAAAGCACAGTGATTAGGAATGTATCCATGTTGGTTAACAACCTGGAAGTACAAACTTTTTTGGCAAGGCTCTGTACACTTTGATATATTTTCAATATTTACTAAATATGACATGGGACCTCAGGCACTGGTGAGAAATGCCCATTTTAGCCACCAACAACCTTGGTTAATCATTTTAAACCATCAATGTTTAATTGAAAGAAAAATGGTTGCTGTTCCTATGAAAATGTTTGAAGAAAAAGGAAGATTGATTTTTTTTTTTTTTTTGAATGGAACAAAAAAGCAAAATACCTGGAAGCCATAAGAGAGCAATAGATGTTGCCATTGCTCATGTAATAAACAATTGAAAAGCAATAAACTCATAAAATGAAGCATATGGTTATAACAAATTCAATCACTAATATAATGATAGATATATTATTGTCATAATATCATTAATGAAAGAATAGGCATTTCAGTAAGCAATTTATTTTGTTCCAATGAAGAAGCACTTCAGATCTGGAATAGTTAAAGAAATACTTTGTTGTTAGCTTTAGTTGAGAATTGAAAAGATTCAAAATAAATGAAGAACAATTTCTCACTGACAGAAAAAATGAAGAAAAGATTTGGGCTGATTCCAGGAGTGACAAAAAAGGATCACATGACACAAATATTAGTTCTTATTCCTAATGAACAGTGAGAAAAAAAAGTTATTTATTTTTTAATCAGTTCATTGATAAAATAAAAATGAACAAAAGGAGGGAAAAAATGATAAAAAAAGAAAAACAAATTGACTATTTCTTTTAATTGGACAAATTTTCTTGCAAGAAAAATGTCTTCATTTAGAATGGTATTAGAAGAACCTTGAAGAAATTAAATTTTGCTTAAAAGTCACATATTCTTCATTTTTCTTGAACATCTATTGGAAAACTATGTAAAATGGAACCAATAGTTTAACTATTTATTTTTGTTTTTTATCTTAGAAAATATGAATTTTCTGAAAGAATCCAAGCAAAAATGTGTTTAGAAAAGAAGCAGAAAGTTAAAAAAAAAAAAAAAAAAAAAAAAAAAGAAAAGAAAGTTTCATTGGATTGTTATATGTTTTATTCTAGGACCCCATTTATAAGAAAGTTTCTAAGCCAAAAACCGGGTGCTCAGAATCAGAAGACAGAAAGTGGTTCCTTGTCAAATGCACGTAATCGTGTTGATAGTTTTCTCATTTACAGTAGGGCAGGGTATTTACAAGTGCAAATGAGTGTCAAAAAGAAAAAGAAATCAATCAGTACTCAGAATATTCCACTGGGTCTCTGTATTTATTTTGTAAATTGGCTTTTTCTAATTATTGGCTTTCAAACAAAGCCTAAGAAAGTGAACAGAAAGGTGCATTGAAAATTTGATTTTAAATCCAAATACTTTGACAAAATTTTCCCTAGAAACTGAATGGACAGAAGAGAATTTTTTTTTTAAATGCTTGTATTGACTGAAGAGGAGATGGGCAGCGGTCAGAAATACAAAAGCAAATTGATTGGCACCGGAAGAATAGAAAACATTATATATACACACACACACAAATTAAATTCCTTGAAGTTTCAGGAAATAACAGATACTTGGTTGGACCCAAAACATAATAAATATAGTGTAACTGAACACTATTGTGTGGCAATATCTTTATCACTGATCAAAAAAATAGGTGAGTGGCTACAGACTTATTTGACGACCTTACAATTCACACTGATGCATATGTGACAAACTCCTTTTCTACTAATCATCATTCAGGGAAATTAATTCTTCTGTTGTACTTTTTTGGTGGCTTCAAGTTCACTTGAGTGTAACTCTGCCTCCAGTGCCTCCTTTTCGGCTTGTGACACAGGCATTATTGTTGAATTTGACATTTCTGATTCATTCTCATTTGAATTTTCTTTGTCTTTTGTCAGTTTGTCCTTCTTTTCTGCTTCTTCTAACATTTCTTCCATTTTAAAGAGGTCCAGAACTTCAGTTATCTGGGCAGGGCTCAACTTAAGATTGTCACGGCTCAAATGTTCAATTGTCTGTAGAGAAAAGCAGAGATTTAATTTACAACTTTACAGCTTAAAACAAGGTATTTATTATTCAAATTAAAGAGGTAATTATTTTTATATTTCTTGATTTCCTAATAGAAGGAGATGCTGAAAAGTTCTTAACCACTTTGCAAAACTTGACCAAATATCAATTTATTTTGGAAGCATTTATTGGTTGGGGTGAGAAATTTTCAGCACATCTTTTTATAATTTTCATAAAATAAAGACACAAAACACTGCAAAATATTACATGTTTTAGCTTATCATATAAAAACAAGATTAAATATTCCAATCTACACAGCATTTGTATAAACATTACTGAGGAATAAGACAAGTGATTTGACCATTGCTCTTCATATGAGTCAAGTGATATTTTTTTTTTTTTACTGATTTGACTTTGAAATTAGAACCTAAAAATGGTTATGGATAACATCAAGAATAGAATAAAAGTAAATATATATATTTGCATCCAAGTTCCTACAACATTTTAACATTCTTGGCAGATTTTCTATTATCAGAAAGTGGAGTATTTAATAACAAAGATGATGGAAACAAAAAACAAAGAATCTAAATGAAATTGTTTAGATTATATACCTAAAACACATTATTAAAAAAAAAAAAACAAAACCCAAAAAACATTAAGAAAAAATATTTTTTGTTCTAAATTTAAAATTCCCAGTATCTCTTGTTTATGCGCATATGTAGTCACATCAACGTAAACAAACTTAGTCCAATGAAGCCCTAAGAGATGAAACGCTTCACACAAAGTTTTTCCCCACTTTGTCATACATTTCATCCAAAACGGTTCTTGATATATAAAAATATGTTAATAAATATAATACCCCACACATCACATATAACATCAAGTATAAAATGATAATGCATGAAACTCAGAGTTGTACTGTCAGCATGGGGTATCATATATATTTATTAATATATAATTAATGGATCTGCTATTTTGCATTGAGCACTGTTCTACGAGATTATATATATGCATACACATACATAGATACAGGTAGTAATCTGTTGGTATAATTCAAGCGAGTCCTATTAACACAATATAGAATTTTAAATATTAAATGTTAAAACTGACTCACAAAGAGTGATCAATATTTATTTTCATACAATTGGAATTAAGATACCAATGATCATTCACTAATGGTATCTTAATTCCAATTGTATGAGATATATATATATATATGTGTGTATATATATATGTACACGTGCACATACATTTATATATACATGATAAAATATAGTTTTAAGGTATGCTATATTTATAGGCTAAAGTGCTTAATATCAGGGTATATAAATATAAAAGTGGACATTGAAATAAAGACAAAGAGGCTGTTTCATGCTAAAAGTAATTGTCAGGCCATTGTGTTTATGCTTGAGCAAAAAAACAACACACATGGCATGAAACAGACTTGTTGGGTCTTGACTTCAATGTCCACTTGTGTGCGTACCTCATCATAGTGTAGTGGTTAACAGGCTAATCTAGAATAAAAGAGTTGAATCCTTACTTCAAATCCCTGTTTCAAAACTAAACATTTATTTTACATGCATATTCATTTTTCAACAATCTTCTTTATTCTCAATAATCATAACTCAAATAATATACAATAAAGATTTCAGATCAATATTTAGCTAATAACTATATAGCATAGTTCAAACTTATTAAGCCACTTTCATATGCATGAGACACAAGAGTGACTGCATTTATGTAGAAACCTTGTGACGTCAAACCAAAATTGATTGCTCGTAAGAACAATACTGTCTTCTTAAAATATAGCTGGAATTGAACTACAACTAATTTGAAACGGCCAAATTTGTAAAAACTGCATTTTTTTTTTTAACAATGATTGGCTACTACCATACCAATAGGATGTTTGTTTCTAAGGAAAGCAAAACAACCTTTGATATCATTCTGTGGTATACAACACGCCATTAATCTAATTAACCTTCTTTCTCTTTAGGATTCAATTCAATTAGTTCAGATAGGGACTTAAGTAATACAACATTTTAGTGTTGTATGTTCACCTAAATTCAGTTATCAATTAAGAGTGGTGTTAGAAATATTAAAAAAATACATGAAATACATTTTCATATGTATTGAACACAATGCATTTAACCCCACAACTGAAAATCTGTATCTTTTTCAGTAGTCACTACCAAATGTTAATATTTTAAAGTACAGAAGCCTAGAAAGAAAGAAAGAAAAAAACAAATAAACAATGACATTGTTTGTTTGTTTTGTCTAAAAAGACCAAAAATATTTTTTTTTTAGCCTCCACCATGAAAAGCTAAGACTGGGGGAAAAATATAAACTTAATATATTAATTTCTACCAGTTATGAACATTTTTGCCTGGTGGGGGAAAACAAAAAGGACACAAAATGCTATGCCCAATATTGTTAATTTTTTCAGCTTTCTTACAGTATTAATCACTTTTTTTTTAGGCAAAGATGCAAACATTTGATTGATCTGGGACACAAATAAAAAGACATAAAAAAAATTGACAAATATATTTATGAAGATTAAACTGATATTAAAAATTTTGACACAGAATTGACTTTTTAGTTGGTAAAAAAGGGAAGGAAGCAAAAAAACGAAAATACAGCTGAAATCCAGTAGTGTCTTGATATGTCTTTTGTCTTTCCAGACAATGAAAAAAAAAAAAAAAATCATTATTTATGAGGTACTGGCAGGGTATAATTGTTGTGCTATGGGGAGAGGGACAAGCAGAATTATTAAGGTATTTGTTCAACCAGTAAGAAGATAAGAATAAAGAAAACTTACCTTTAATGCCAAGGAAATATCTACTTTCCCATCCTTGTCTTCGTCTAACACCTCAACAATCATTTGGGCTCGTGTTTCATCTGGAACCTTTTCCAGTTTTTTCAATGACATCACAATATCATTAATGCTGATCAAATTGTCCCTAAACAAATTGACAAATTTCATAAATCAGTCACACATTTGACAAGTGTAATAGTTTTAGTTGGTATTGTTTGGAAAAGTAAGGACAATTTTTTTTTTTTTTTAAGAGGAAATAAAAACATATTTAAAGTTAAATTATCAAGAATATCAGCAGCAATTACAGAAATTTACTCTAAAATTAATCCATTTATCAAAAGAAACTGGAGTTTGGATATAAATGTGTTTACATCTAAACGAAATCTCCATTTCCTAACAACCACTATAAGGTCTTGGTGAACAGTTGGTAGAATTTTGTCTTAAAACAATATAAGACAATCACAGAATATATTTATTGTCAAGAACAAGTGAAGATTTCCATAAAAATGCCTTTATTTGAACAAATAGTGTATAATTTTTGCTAACAAAAATGCAAGCCCACATTTGTAAAATAAACTCAAGAGAGGATTAAGTTATTAGGATGATCTCCCACAGGTAACTCTTAATCTCTGGATTTAACAACTTCAAATGTTCATTTATTTACATTACTGAAAAATTTTAGAAAAACTTTTGAAAGCAGGATTCATTTAACATTACCAGAATTCTTTTTAAGCAGAATCCAAGACTCTTTCAACAAAGAAAAAAAATGTTTCCTCCAATAGATGTTTGACATTATTATTATTAATGATAATGTTCTTGACAAATTAATGTTTTTCTTTTTTTTGAATGAGCTTTTATTCACTCCCAAAATTTCAAATCTATTTTCTTTTGAAGGCAAACACTGAATGGCAAATTAACTTTATCATCCATAAAATATAATTCATTTCTGCTGATATAATTTCAAGATCATTCTCACATAATTATTTACTCTTTGTAAATAAACATTTGTGATACTGATTAAAACAAAGCAAATTCACCTTTCAAGATCACAAATAGTATTAAAGCATTTCTAAATAAGGTATTAAGTGGGATCAATTTCAGTGCTCTTGGGCTATTATTATATATATATATATATATATATATATATAAAAATATAAATATGTGAATTTTTCCTAATTTATATGTCCTGTTTAATCTTGCTAAGTGAAAAAAATCTTTTAATGTTATTAAAATTCATATTAACTCATTAATCGAATTAGTTTTCAGATTAGTTTCTCTTTTCATTTTTGCTGCTTTTTATCACAACTTTCAGGTCTTTTTTATATTCTACAACCATTGACTAAGTAGCACAGAACAGAAATAAGGAATAAGTTTCCAATAAGACTTGAAATTGCATTCCTTATGCTAGGGAGCCTGTCTGACCGAGACATTGTTTTAAGTTTCACTACACATTTTCACTGGCAGACATTATTTCAGTTCAGTCCTATAATTACATTTTTCCTTACCCAATTTTATTCCCACACTTCTTGATTTCACCCCAAGCAAAGCAATAAAACCACTAAAACACAAGGGGATATTGAATGTGAGAGAATATGAGAAAAAAAAAAAAATCAAGGAGAGAGGACAATAAAAGAACAGGAATTAAGAAGACAGAAGATAATGATTGACCTTGCATTTAAATTTTTGAAGATCAAAATTGAATGGAAAATATGAAGCCAAAAAAGAGTTCCACAAGTGAGAAGTGCAAGAGAAGAAACTGTTAGCATAGAACTTAACAGTTATATCTAGCTATTTCAACTGTAAAATGGTGAGACCTTGCTGCCAATCTAGTACTGCATTTAAATTCATAAATTCTAGGTACCACAGAGGAAAGTTCATCAGAACAATTACTATAAAAATATTTATAGAAAAAGTGCAGAGAAATTATGTTAAGGCATTGGGAAAGTGACTGAAGCTGAGATGCCAGGTCAGGACCAATAACATTGTAATAATAAACATAATAGCCTTAAATTATCCAAATTTCATGAGAATTTTATTCTTTATTACCAATCCACATTTAACAAGAACAGGAAGTAAAAACAGTTGGAACATTTTGATAAAAAACAACAAATATACGATGAAAGAAATAAAAGTCCAAAATTAATAATGATTATGCTTCGTTCAAGAAATTCTGGCAACGTAAGATTTATTTCACCATGCTTTCATATTTTGAGATTCTTAATGGACATTTCTTAGTAAAGGGAGTGAAAATTGTTTATCATGTTTTCTAAGTTTTTGAAATCTAGTGAAAAAAATATGAAACTATTTGAACTTACTTTTGTTTAGAAATATCTTCAATGAGTTCTTCCCTCTTTTGGGTTTGGAGGTCAGGTGTATGCTGCATTTTCACCTCACTGACTTCAATCTCTTCCATGATCTTAGCCTTTTTCTTAAGCAGTAATTCACTCATCCGCTCAGCCTGAGACAACAATTTGTCTACACGTTTTGTTAGACGCTTAGCTGCTTTAGATTCTCTCATATCACGGGGATTTCCTCCTGTAGACAATATGACTTCCTTCAGATCTTCAAGGTCCTATAATAAAGGATCATAAAATGATGGGAAAAATGAAGACCAAAGCAAAATCTTTAAATACAAACAATGTCATCACATTTAAAATTCTTTATAGATACCAAATGTTATTGAAATAATTGGATCTCTTCTTCACATATTTGCTGCAGCAAATCTATCAAGAAGAGATTCAATTGTCTGAACAAGATTTGATATATTAATGATTCTTCTTAAAGTTATCATCAGTTCTATGACTGGGTTACTTTGCAGTTGAGCACCTGACCAGTTCCCTCAACATAGCCAAGTTGAAAGCCAGAGTGGTATTTATTCATATGTAGCATGTCTTGGACAAGTCAACCTAGCAAAGCTCATATCTCTCCAGGTCAATCTACAGCTGATATTCTTAAGTTGAAAGCTCAACTTGGTTATGGACATATGGGGCCCTACACCTTGCATGTTCATTTCAGTCTAAGAAACTCTCCACCCAGCAATGCTGTGTCATCATCGCATTAGCTGTGCATATTATATATGTATGTCTTTAGAGCCCATTCTGTTGCATTGTGCTAGATTTATCTACCCATTGACAGGTTTTGTCTTTAATTCTAATGGGTGTCTCACCACCCTCCTCACCAGAACTAGTTTAGTCATCAATGTGGTAGATATTTTGGTTTGGTTTGTTTTGTAGTATATCAACCCATTGGGTCATTTAACGCTGAAATTTAATTTTCTTGGGAGCATTAATAAGGTTGTGACACAAAGTCATTTTTTAAGTTGGGGATCCAAATGTTTCCACTCGGTCTAAGCTGGTCATAGCTTGTCCAAGTGGGTCATGGCCGTGATAACCCCTGACCTGTGCCAGGGAAGTAGTAGGGCAGATTGTGAAGGTTCATAGAGCTGGAAAAATCTCACCCATTTATACAATCCTAGTAGAAGAGTCCATTTACAAAAAGTGAGATGAACTTACATTTTGGGAAAATTCCATAATACAAATTATATTTAACAGAAAAAATGCAATCATGCAGTTTAATAACAAAAATATTTAAATGTTAAAGTATATTCACTTAAAGGTTAATGTAGGTGGCCATTAAACACAAATATCATGTCACTTTGTGATTTATAATTATTTGCAAAATAAATAAAGGGGAGACTACTCTGTAATTAGCTAAAACCAACTCCATTTAAAATGTAAAGTTAACTTCTAATCCTTGACTTGCAATGATGTGGAAAGCCACATACAATCTATTTGTAGTTGAACGTAGATTTGCAAACACGCTGACCATTTGAACATTTCTTGAATGTCCTTTCATTGTATACTAGAGACAATTTTCACCTGTACTCATACAAAGTGCAACTGGTACAGAAAATGCAGATCATCTACAATGCTGAAATTAATCAGTCCAAATTCAGAGGTTGGCTAATGAAGATAACGAATTAGTTCATAAGCTGATTATCAGTAACAAAAATTATTTCATTTTGAACAGCTTTCTTAATAAGCAGAACTGTCAAATCTTAGGATTAGAGAATCCTAGGAATATTTCATCCACATGGTATGAGGTCAGGAATGATTATTGGACCTTGTCTTTTTGAAGATTAAAATGGCAAGGCAATGACAATCACTAGTGAGCAGTATTGGGTCATGATCAAGACTTTTTGTGTCCAGCAATGTAGAATAAATCTGAGATGTGGTTTCAACAAGATGGAGTCACTGCACAAACAGCCTTACAAAGATAGAGCTCTTGAGGTAAACCTTTGGTCACCAGATTATTCTAAAATTTCATTAAGCTGCAACCATTTCAGCAACTCAAGGATAACATCTGCATAGCAATTCAAGAGTTTCAGCCAGAGTTATTAAACATTGTTATGGAAAATGTTATTGAAAGAGCACACCTCTGCCAAGTTGCAATTGGAAGATATTTGTGTCATATAATTTTTCATAATTAAATGGGAATATATTTCTGGTGTTTGATTTTCAATTTAGATAAAACTATTTTTGGATAATAAAAAATTTGAAAAGTTGAAATTACGAGATTATTTTTTTTAATCCCTGGCTGACTTCTAGGACACCCAGTATATATATATATATATATATATATATATATATATATATATATATATATATATATTACACACACACACTTACCAAAATTACAGAATTTATCATGAAAAACTAAAGAGTAAATTTATTCAATAAAATTGACATTGATTTCAACCACAACCTCCAGACAACTTCATAATCTCCTGCAGCTCTTTTGGATGGTTTCCTTGTTTAAGTTGGTGAATGCTGCCATAATCCTTGCCTTGAATTCATCTTTGGTGTTACAAGGAGTTTTGTCAGTCTCTTGCTCAACTGTGCCCCACACATAACAATCAAGGGGGTGTTGCAGTTTGGGGAGTTACATGGCCAGATATAAGTGGTGATATGGTCACAGAAATTGTCTCACAGCCAGGTTCTCCTGCTTATGTGGCATGGCGTCGAGTCCTGTTGTAGACATAGCATCTTCCAGCAGCCACTCTGTTAGCCCAGAGCAGCACTACCTCCTCTAAGCACTTGATATAGGCCTCTGTGTTTGGTCTGAGACTTTGTGGGAAGATGAATAGAAGCCATCACTAGTGACCATTCCAAATACCATTAGATTCATCCAGCTCTTTCTGAATCTTCTGCACTGTCCTCAGATTGAAACTCAAACACTCTGAAATGCCAAGCAGTACAGCATGGCGTTTCTAAATTTCTAGTAGAGTGAATTGCATCATGGTTCTCTTTTTCTCACAGACGGTGCCCAACTGACCCTACTATAGTGTGCACTTGATAAAATCAAAAGCAAACAACGCACATGCATGAATTTAAAAATATAAAATGGCGACAATTTACCCATCGCAACTTGTGTATATGAATAAATTGGGATAAATTACTGCTCAAATATGAATACAAATTTGACAGTATGATAGGTTAAAGAACAAATAAGAAACATTTATAAATGTTTCACTTTTATTAAAGCTTCATCAGAGAATAAGATATGGAGAAAAAATTCTAGTATATTTATTTTTGTGTTTGATTTTTATTGGCTAAGCAGATTTTATGTGTGTGTAAAACAAAATCAAAATACAATTTCTTTTATGCAAAAATTATTAATCTTTCTAGTTTTTCTTTTCTTTCAATGTTGATATTATTTTCTTTTCAATTTTTGTAACAAATACACAAAATTAAATCATTATTAGATTGAGCACAAATGCTGTCTCCACACTGCAATTTTGAAAATTAGACTGGAAATTTCTTTATTCTTCAAGTTAGCAGTTTTGCCCTAATAGAAATCTTGCAACAACATGCTATTTTTGATGTGTTAACGCAAACACACACAAATCGTTATAATAGATTCATCAGAATACTTGGATAGATTTATAATGTTAAGAATAAGGGACAACTTTTTAATGTACTTAAAATCAATTAATTAATGAATGAATTCAATTTTCCAAGTGTACATTTTAAATTTTTTCACTTTACCGATTGGATATCTGCAAGAATATAATAATGTTCTAGAATTAATGATATAACAAAGCAGTAATTAGTAGAAGATCAATACTTGTACAATTCATTACATAGGAAGAGGAGGGGGTAAAAAAAAAATTAATACATTTTATTTACCTCTTTATATTCACTGACTTCTTCTTTTAGATCCCGGAGTTCTTCTTGCTCAATACTCAATTGCTTCTCATGGGCAATTTCCTCCAAGGCTGATTCAACAATCTCTAAGTCTTTGCTTGTTATTATTTCTTCTTTCTTGCCATTAACCAATTCTAAAAACAGCAAACACAAGAAGTTACAAATCATTATCAATTATGTAGAGAGAGGACAAAGATAAAAATCAAATGGTGAATCTATCTTGTGCCAAATTACCATCCAATTTCTAAGAATTTTTGTTTGAATTTTTAAAATTTTGCTACTATTATAAAATGAGTACTTGAATGTAAGTGTTGATAACTAAAATTATTCATTCACACATATCAATTCACTTTTCATATTCTTTACCTGTATTTTCCAATTCTCTCCCTTATCCTTTTCAATCTATGTTGCTCATCCACTTTTTTGGCAATCTTTGTGCCCACAAAAAACAGTGTCTAAAGGACGGTTTTTCCCTTGACACCATTATTATTTTAACTACCTTCACTCTTTGGCAGTGTTTATTGTTTTAAAAAGCAATGATTAGAATTTAAATACAACTTAAATACATGAAATTGAAGTTATACATTTTTTTATCTAAATGTTGTACAAACATGAACAAGTTTTGTATAAGAAAAAAGGAATAACGAATGCACAAATATTTTATACTGTCTTGTCTTATCTTTCTTTTGCTATCTTTTCCCATAAAGAATGTGAATGTATTGCATTTTTTATATATAATTCCATATCTATTTGCCTTTCAATGTTCTACTTTTTGTCTCAATAGTCAGCAATAAACAACAACAATCCCCTATCCCCTCACTGTGCATGTGTATATATACATACACACATGCACACTTAACCAAGAAGAAATGGAAGATGTATTTTTATATATATTTTTACAAATTTTGGGAAGTTGATTGGATTGATAACTTTTCAGCACTCCCTCATTAACTGGTCTTCTTTTTAATTTTCTCTGTATTTCTCACTCCCTACCTTTCCTTCTTCACACCAACTTGTTCAACCTCTACCTTCTTTACTCCCCCACCCTAATAATATTATTATGTAGGTTTCTCAGTCAGAAAATGGAACTGATTTCAGCTCAGAAGGGCCAGGATCAGGCAGATGCTACTCTCTGATCCAAGCTAGAAATATATAATAGTTGTAAATATAATCAGAATAATTATACAATGATTATTTTAACATTTATCTTTGTTATCTTTATCACAATGTTTCACAATGCTATATCCCATACCTTGCTTTCTATATCCAGTTAATATTTATATGTTAAGATGTTATTACATAATGAACAGGATGTTCACTATATAATAAAAACTTGAAAGGTTTTTTTTTCTCATAAAGGGGGAAAAATATATGCAAAAATATCTAGAAACTATAATCTGCCATACTAGAAGCTAGTCATATGAAAGGATATTTTAATTGAAAAGTAATGTTTTGTTTTTTGAGACTTTTCTTTTGTTCAAATATCTTCTAATTCATGGCTTTCTCGATCCCTAAGAGTAAAATAGATTCAGTTTAAGGAAACAACAGAGGCCTTCCCATATAAAACATAGCATATTTATTTCCATTTTAAATTATATGAGATGTTTATTGGGGGATTAGCCATTGTTTCTGTAGTAATTACAAATTTTTATAAGCCTGACACCTAACCCTCTTCATTTTTAAATAAGCTAAGGTTGGCTGCCAAGCTATAGGTTTTATTTCTGTAACTTTCTCTTAGCTTGATTGTCTTACAGGATGAAAGGACAGCTAGAGGAAGAAGTGGGTTCATGCCTTTCTCAAAGGCATTAGTGAACATAAGCATCTTTATCTGAAACTTGAACCCAGCTTGCCAACTTTATTTTTCATGTCAGTAACCATTACAAAACTCTACACCCCTTAGGGAGAGCAAATGGTAGAAATGAACACAGTAATCATATTTAAATTTCCTGTCATTTATAAAATAAAATATCAATTATGCTTACCTTCTTCAGGTTTTACTGTTGCAACTGGTGCCTTGTCAACAAGTACTTCTGCTTTATCTATGATGACCTCTGCCTGCTTTGTAGCTATTTCAAGTGCTTTCTGTAGGAAGTTAAACAGTTGACGGAATTAATTATTGAATATAACTAAAACATTTAAAAATCAAATTTAAACATTTATTGTAGATTATCATTAAAAAAAAAAAATTAAAAAAAATCAGAACGTCTCCCAACCCGACTACCAAATGATGTAATCCATAATTTCTGAGTAAGACAAATGTTTCGCATAAAAAGTAATTTACAAACCTTTTCTTTCTCTTCCTGCTGTTCTTCTGCTTCCAGGTCTTTTCTTTCCTTTTTGATAGCAGCTTCTTCTTGCCGAATCAATTGCAGTTTGGCTTTATTATCTACTTTCTCTCCAGAAATTTCAGCAATTTTGATCTTTGCTTCTTCAGTCTAAAACAAAAAAGGAATAGGAGAGTAAAACAATACTGATAAGATTTTTAATTTTCAAGCACAGTTTGTTTTTTTACATGACTTTCTTTGAAAGATTCAACATAACAAAAGCAAAAGAAATTAACATCAAGAATATTAAATAATATAATGATTGTAATAAAAAAGCAACTGTAATAAGAAACTAGTCAAAATAATAAAAAATTCAACAAGAGAAAAATAAAGTAGATAATTTGAAACTATTATATAATATATATTAATAAAATAAAAATAAAATAATAATGCTACCAATTGACATATGTAAAATTATATAACATATCAAGGTGAACAGAATTTCTGCCAATCAAGTCCTCAATATTTGATTAGAGCAATAATTATTGAATCAAAAAAAATAAAATTCAATATTTATCAATGTCAACTCTGAGTTAATTTTTCGAAAGTCCTGACAAGTGAGAAATTACAAAACAGAGTTGACATCATTAAATATTGAATTCTATTATTTCTGATAAATAATATTAATTAGAACAAATAGAAAAATGTTCCTGACTTATTCTGAATTTATTTTGAACTAGTGATCAAACTGTTAGTAGCAGAGACTTACAGTGGTTTCAGGTAGAGAAGATAGTGTTGCCTGGAGCTGGTCAGCAGTTGACATATTTTCTGAGAGGTACAGTGCTCTTGAAAGTAGCAAGAGGGATGTAGGGATGTTTTCTTTTAGATGGAGTTCCAGCCACTGCTCCAACTGGAATTTTAAGCGTTCTTCAGGAACACCAAGAGCACGCATGCCACGAGCTCTACAGGCAGCCTGCAACTCCCAAGTAGTCAGACTATCAACACTTTCTTTCTGGATCATCTACAAAAGTCATTACAAGTATTTATATTAAGTGATAGATCAAATTTACTTATTTCTAAGCAATAGAGTTAAAGGAAAAAGATTATAATTATAATGTCTCATACAGAGAATGTGGTTTATTAAAACAAAATTACCTGATTTTATTTGATTAAAATCCCTTCTAAGATCATTGTTTACTTTTTTTGTCTATTTTTATTTCATCCATATAACTTCAAAATGTTGATAAATAAAAATTTAAATCATTTGCATTTGGTTTCTGGAAAAAATATTTTGCCATTTCATTTCTAATATGAGCAACTTAACTCAGAAGCATTCCTTAATGCTTAATGTCCACTTTAAAATTTGGTATTAACTATAAAAAATTAAAATCTGGTATTAATGAAATTGTTATAAAAAATGAAGTATTAAAAAAAAAAAATTGGCCCTATTTACTATTACAAATTGGAAAAAGGGGACAAACAATATCAGAAGTACACATCATTAACATTTGTAAATAAAAACCAAGTACAGATAACTCTTTAAGAAGAAGTCTAGGATCAATTTGACACTGTATTTATATTCATACAGGACTCCCACTTCTACAATGATAAAAAAATTTTTTTTCAGTTCTGACAAATGTTGTGATTTGAGAAAGGTCTAATGAAAATGATAATCTATTTCCCTATTTCATATAATGGACCAATTTATTTTAAGTAGTGCCAAATTTGTTATTAAATATAGGTTTCTACTTATAACCTATTAATGGCCACCATATCATTACTAGGATGTTGGCAAGGCAAATCCAATGGGTAGACATTAATAGACTAAATATTGTTCTAGACTTTATTATATTAACCTTGATCAACTCTTAAAATAAAAAGATAAAAAAGAAAACTTTTAGTAAAATGTCAAATTTATATATAAAATTTATAAATTCAGAGATGGAAAAAATTATAAAATATATTTAACCTTACTACCAAATAAAGTTCTTCTATCAGATTACAAGTTTAATGAAATGTGTTAAACATATTTTAAATATTTATTGCAGAAAATCATTTTCTTTTTGATTGTTGAGCTAAGGTTGAAAAAAAAAATCTACTTAAAAACATAAAAAGTTAGATGCAAGAAAAATTATAAAATTAGAAAAAATATTTTTTAATCAAATTTTGATTTTTGTTATAATTAATAACAAAAATGTTCTTAAAAGATTGGCATGATAACTTCTATTATTTACAAATCAGTCAAAGTAATGAAATGACAGTATTTATTATTCATATCCACCTGCCAATTATTGTACTGACAGATATAAGCAATTTTATTTGAATAATAGCGTACAAATATTTATCGTAATAATTGGTAACAATAACGACAAAGATGAGGACAATAGTCTGAGTATAAATAATGATAACTCCTCATGTCAGGAATTCACAATTATTGGTTTGTTCAGCTTGAAATGATTTGAGAAAAAATGATGAACATAGATTGCTTTTATTGCTGTGATAAAAAAATAATTGTGTCATTCGTATGTGCAAGCTTACAAATGAAAAAAATTGTGTGGCCTTTGTCATGTTGATAAAGAATTTCAAAAACTAAAAACGTTGAACTGAAAGAATTTCAGAAAGAGAGGAATAAAATGATTTTAGTTAATTTTTATCTGAAGAAAGTGACTATAAACTGTAAAACACTGAGTTGTTTAATGTTTTTTCTATTACTATGACATAAGATCACTAGCCAATGCATTAAGAGTTCACTGATAAACCTGTTTATATTGTGTAGTAAACATTTGTATATTTGCTTCACCAAATTGAACCAACACAATAGTGAGCTCAAAATACTTATTTTTACAGGCAGAAAAAGAGGTAAAGAACATTCGAGTAACCATTATACTAATTATCACAGATATTGTTACCTTATCGTCTGTTTTTAGCTGCCTCAATCTCATTCTCAACTGGAAGCGGAGAAAGTTATCTGTGCCGATAATAGGTAGCAGCAGTACACGGCAAAGTGCTTGTAGCTGCAACCGAGAAAGATTGTCCAAAGTAATTTCATCCTCAAACAGTTTGGAAAATTTGAGGATCTCTTTTGTTGAAGCTCCCTGTCCACTACTCCGAATCTGCAAGAAAAAAATTGTGCAATAAATATATAAGTGTAATTCATGCGAACTAATAAATCTGAAACAATGGCCTCAAAGTTTGCTCTATACTACTTTCATGAAAGACTTTCATTAGCACAGGTTTTCCCCCTCACTATCCAAAATGATATAAAGTGAAGAAATAATTGCCATTAATAGATATGAAAAAAATTTTGAGTCTTACTACAACACTCCCCACACCAAAAAAACACCTATGGCTTTCCATTTACAATCAGTGAATAGAAAGCTAGAAATACAACTATGTTTAAGTGTTTCCTCTCAAAATTAAATCCATACTTTTCTCTAATTTTGAAGAATTATTAGTCTTAATGAAAATCTAAAGTAAGGTTATGTTTTTGATTTTTGAATGATAAAACTGTTTTTCTGTACTGGGCGTAACAGCAAAATTGTCCAATTATTAGATTAAGCTCTGAATCGTCATATTTTAGAAATGATTAAAGATATCTTACTGGAATTCTTGGAGGTTTTTATAACACTACTGGACTCTACTTTGGGCAATAAGAATGTATTACTCTCTAAGCTTAACAGAAGTACCACAATGAAATCGATCACAAATGAAAATGACGTTCGTTATTAATTAATCATAACTAAGGATCAGAAGCTCATGAAGTATTGAAATAAAGTTTATATATATTATTCCAGGGTCATTTTCCAATTTATTCAAGGTGATCTTTGCTCTGTCTAACCTTCTAACTTTCTGTCCTGGAGTAACGAGGTGCCTCACAGGTTTCATGTAAGATTTCATTTTCAAGCCTTTTTTCACTGCTCTTTGGACTGTCATAGCTGAAACTCCTTCCTCACATGCCAAACATCTTGTGAATGGAGTTGGATCTTTTCTAATTGATCTCTTTAGCTTTGAAATGATGATCACTCTTCCTGTTATGACCTCTTTTTTAAACATTCACCATTCTCTTGATGGTTCTTGAATGAACTTTGAAGATGGAAGCCAGAGTATGAATGTTGGTACCATTACTGTAGGTCTGATCTTTTTTCTCTCACCGTTGCTCAGTTGGGAATACAGTGGGTCTGACATAAAACAATTTTAACCTGCTCTTTTTTAGCTGGATATCTCAAAGGGTTTTTCAGTGATTCTTACGAAAAATAGTGTCAAGATGGCTAAATGTCTTATCTGAAAACCTGGAAAAAAATTTTGATTAGTTTAGTAGATTTTTAGATATTAAATATTTTGTGGGATGGATAATTATGATTTGGAAAATTTTGCTGTTACACCCATTATAAATTAATGGTAATTGCTTCTTCACTTTCTGCCATTTCATCATACTATTATCAGAGAGAAAGAGGAAACCTGTGTTTGAATATAAAGTTCTGCATTTCAAAGTTTAACTGTAATATATTTAACAGCAATTATTTCAAATTAATTTAATATTTCTATGCTGTATTTCAGTGTTATTCAACAAAATTATATATTATTTTTTAATGATTGTAGCAGATTGTAATCTAAAAAAATAATTAATTTTACAGATTATAAGCAAACAGAATTAATTTCAATTGGCTATTTTATTAGGGAACAGTGAATCATATTTCCAAGTAATTATGTGAAAAAGAACAAAATCCATTTTGAATATTTAGTTCACTAATTTCAAATGGTCTTACAAGCTTTCTTTGTCAATAATGGTAGGAAGTTTTTTCAAATATCAAACAATTCCTTTTTACTTAGATTAATAATCATAATATAAAAACTGAATATGTATTTTATATGCAAGTTTATACATGTACAAATAAAATCTGCATTGCAGCTAAAATATTTGTATTATAGTCAAGAGACTGATACCAAAGGCTCAAACTAGGTGTTTGGATAACTTGAAGTAAGCAATCAAAGTACATTCATAGACAAGCAAGTAAAATATATTTATTTTATTTGAAAGGAAAAACATTTTTGTAAATTCAGTAAAAGAAAGACACTCGTAGAGGAAGTACATATGTAAAAAACTTTTTTAGTTATAAGTAAACAAAAGAATAACTTGGTGATATCAAGTTAATTTTGAAACTAAGAGTCACCATAGATTAAAGTCAAAATAATGATTTGTCAGGCAATTCAACATTAAATTTGTCAATCCATTTGAACAATTTGCAGAAGAAAAATAGCAAAAATTCATGGAATTCAATTATCAGTAATCAAAAAAATAATATTTTAAAAAATCCAATTAAAAATAAGTTACTAGTTTAAAAAAAATAAATTAGTTACATTTTTAACAAATGTAAAATGTAAAATGTTAAAAAAATTAAAAAGAAAAAACAAAAACAAATTTCAAGTTGTGTTGAACAACATAATAAAAGCTATTTCAGGATATGTAGTGTGTGTGTGGGAAGGTGTCATACTTTAAAAGGTTCAAGTGGACAATAAAATTGAATTAGAGATAAGGTCACTAAAAAAAACACACACATACAAACAAAAGGCTAGACAGTCAAACTGGTTGCTATAGTAAAAAAAGTAGAAAAAACTGCAATCATTGCTGTGAGAAACCTTTTATGCAACTTTCAGCTAGTAAGCAAATTACATGTATAGATAGGGATTGACTTGTGCTCTTAATTATTTATTTCAATTGAAAAAAAGACCAGGAAACTTCAAGCTTTACATGCTTTTTAAGAAAAAAAAAAAAAAAAAAAAAAGCAAGTTATGCTAAATACTAAATCAAAAAAAAAAAAAAAAAAAAAAAAGATATTGGCTTAAAATTAAAAAAATATACATGCACAAAACAACAACAAAAATGATTGTTATTTACACCATTTACATGCGGACTATAGTCTTCATCTTTGTTGTTATCATAATGTTTCAGTTATTGTGTCCGGCCTTCATCAGAGTCCAAGTACCTACTGGCCAGACAAGGGATTGAACCAACAATTATGAGGTCACCAAATTCATGAATCAACATTTTAATCTACTAAGCTATTGCCCTGTAGGACAACTCGTCATCCCAGAAATTAAGACAGAAACAAACATTGTGATTGGCAAGGGTATTCTGGAAGATAATACTCATAAAGCAAACATTCTTTGTAATTAAAGTGATCGATAACTAGAGATGGAACTTTAATAGTCAAAAATAAAATCAAATGTTCAATTATCTGTCACTACTTTCAGTTTCACAGAGATTACATCCACTCACCAGGGGGCTTTGATAGTAAAATTGTTATTTATTATTCTTTACAGAAATCATACCTGATAAGCTATAAATAGTAGTTAGAACCCCTTCACTATATTAACATTTTACTTAAAAACATGCATACACATCCCCATCCAAATTAGAAATATTAAGCTAAACATTTGGATTTTAAATCAAAAGTTGCATCAATATCTAACATCTCATTATATAATAATTAACTAATACATGCAATGGATCAATTTCAATTTAATTTTACATCATACTTTGAGGAAAATATGATAAATGATTTCTGTAAATAAATTCAATTTTACTATAAAGTCCTCTGACAAATGGATGTAATCTCTGTGAAACTCAGAGTAGAGACAGATAAGTAAATTTTTAATTATATTTGTTACCATATACATATGAGAAAAATATAAATTTAAGGTATGCCATTTTTATAGGTAAAAGTGCTCAATATCAGAGAGAGTATATGTAAAATATAAAACTGGACATGTAAGGCAACACCGAGTCGCGACAGTCTGTTTTATGCTATCTTTTATATATATATATATATAATTTCTATGCCCACACTATATTTACAAACACTATTCCCAATATTGAGCACCCTTTTCCACTAACAATAGTAAATTATACATACATACATACATACATACATACATGTGTGTATTTGCTGACTGTTCTACCTCTGTAGTTTAGTTAAGTCAATATAGCCTGGTCATGCAATTGAAGTTTGAATTAGTTTTTAAAAAAGTCAAGTCAACAAAAATATTTTTACTTTTTCTTGTCTCTTTTTTTTTTAAATAAAAGAAAAATCTAATGTCAACTTTTATCAGAGTTGTAGAGATAGAAATTTATGTGCAACAAAGAAAATAGTTATTTCTAAAAACTAAAAATTGAATTCCACAGTGATTCCTACCTGGAGGAAACTATAATAAGAAAGGAAAGAGAAATCTGTGTAGTCAAATTTGGACAAATATTTTAGTTATGATGTATGCATGAAATAAATGAAAAATATCTTATTTATTTTTATTAACCATAACAGTTTTGGTATTATATATAGCTAAAAGCTATTAAAATATTGATGGATGATTTGAAAGAATGATTATATGAGGGAGTACTGAAAAATTCTCAGCCCAACCACTTTCCAAAATTTAACCAATATCAGATTTTTTAGGGTAAAGGGCTTCCTGGCCATGACCGAGAACTTTTCAGCACCCTTCATAATTATTCCCATATTATATCAATGACTTAAGACAAATTTGTTTTGCACAAGTAAAAATTGGAAAAAAAAACTGCGTAAAGAAGGTTTGCCTTTATAGTTAAGGTTAAGAAAATTGTGACACTGTGATCTCAGGGTGTTGATCAAACAAAAAGGGAAAGAAAGAAAGAAGGAAGAGGAAAGAGTCTACTAACTGGATGATAATTGTTGAAATTTGCAGGAAGATGGATTGAAAAATTAAGAAAATTAAAAACAAAATGCATTGAAAAATCATATTTCAAGATAGTAAGTGAACTCCTGAGCGGTTCCAAGGAGAATCAAAGCCAAATTTAACTGGACAGAATTCAGTAAGATTGACCAAAACCAAGAGTACACATCCTTCTCCACTTCCCACCGATGAGAAAGAGACCATTAATATATACTCAAAGATGACAAATAGAAAAACATAGCTTATCGATAAAGAAACCCAGGTAGTCACCAAAATAACATTTAATGGTTTGGACAAAAGCCAAGAAAAACCATCTGGTTTGAATCAACCACCCAGAAGAAAAGTGTCCCTACAAAGATAAAGATTAACTTGACTAGTTTGTTGATTTTAATTTATGTGACATTCGTCAATGAAAATTTTATATCCAACATTAATTTGAATTGCTTTGGCTCCAAGTGATAAAGAAAAATTAGTTACTATTTTGGAATGACTGTGGGAAAATGGCTCAAGAAAATGCATAAACAGAGGAAAGATAACTTTTGTTTTTATCACTGAGATCGGGAAAATTTTCCTTGCTTTTCTTTAAATTTCTAAGTTCTGGTCTTCTTTTGGAGGTTTGGACAACTTGGAGAGTCTCCACATTACTGCTACTGGAATTCACATCATTGACCAAGACCTTGTGCCAGCTCTGAAAACCAGAACTTAGAAATTTAAGTTACAACTAACACTAGCTGCAGACTCCAAAGGGAATTCCAGTGTCATTTGATTATACAACAGTGAAAAGGGTTAAAACTGTTGTATACAACAAAGCATATATAAACCAAATTGTTGTTACATTTTTAACCAGAGTTAATTCCTTATTTCAAAGAATTCTTGTATGTAGTTCTTAGCTGTTGACCTATCTTCACTTCCGTTTGCTTCATCAGTGATCTTTTCATTCTCTGAGTTCGAAAACAATGTGGCAGAGGAGTGAATGGCCATGAACAGACAAACGCCAGCTAAGTTGAGTGGAATTGTGCCTACCATCCCAATATCAGTGACAAACAAACCATGTGTTAATGAGTGAAGAGTCTGCTATGTTAACCATGGTGGTCTGAAAGAACTTGAGAACCAATGCAGGGAATAGAGGTATATTATTGTTGCCATTGATGAGGATTGACACTTGGAGTTACAAAAATCTAAAAAAGAGTTTTTGAAATTTACTCAACTTTTTATTGTGTAATCAATCTACTGTAAAATGTCTGTTAAAATGGTTTAAAAATGTGGGCAGTAAAATGCATACATGTAAAAAAAACTGACAAAACAATCTTGTTTAGTCAGTTGTAATTAGAAATGTGCAAGTTAAGCCTGAAGAAAATAAATTCTATTTAAAGACTGGATATTTAACAAAAAACAGTATTTGTTTTGTTTACCTGATTCATGAAATTGGAAAATTCTGTCACCATATCTTCACTTTTCTGCTTCTGTTTGCTGCGTAAAGCACTTTCCATGATAGTGTCTTGCAGAAATTTGGCCATTTCCAGCTTAACTTTGAGCTGCTTCTTCAATTTTTCTTGCTGGCAACAAAGATGAAAAATTTTGAATGAGATAACTAATAGTCATAAAATTTTATTTTACTTAATCTTATTGCAATAATGAAAATATATTAACAGAACATTAAAAATAAGCATAGTTATTTTTGATCATACATTCAAGTGGATTTCTTTCAGTATTTTTGTTATCAATTTTTTTTTTTTATAGGCAAAGGAAAAAAAAAGCATATCTATAACTGGTCTTTTGCATAATCTATGTAGACAAATATTTTTTTAAAATCTATTGTGAAATTGTTCTTTTTAATCTATCAATTTCAGTCATGCAAACTGAAAATTTCAGAACATTATCTCAACAAAAATTTAAAAAGGAACAAAGTAAAAATTCTCAATCTGTTGTAAGCATGCTGAAAATTTATTTTTATATCTACTGTATTTTTTTATATAAAGCCTAAGAAAAAGCCATATACAAAAATGGATGAATTCTCTCATGGTATAAATTACTTCAGAATAGCGAGGAGTCAGGTTTCACATTGTAAATTACACGTCAGTTTTTCCATGAAGACATGTTGGTAGGGAGTCAGTTGACTCTGTTTCTAGATATTCTAGATAACTGTCTTGCTAAATAATTTATTTTAAAAATCAAATAGCGGACTATAACTTATTTATTCTGAAAACACTTTTTGTTCCTCAGGGAAAGGAAATTAAAAATACAAGAATTACTGACCTCTTTGTGTTTTTCTGCAAAAGTACTGGGTAACATATCTGGAAACAGTTTCAAAGCCACTGGCAAAAGAAACTCCATGAATGGAACCACAATAAATACTAAAAATGGAACAATTCGGAATAAATCTGCTGTTGTCCGTACAAGCTGCAAGTGGAAGAGATTATGTTATATGGACATATAGCATCTTTATCAGTTTGTCTTGTATTTGATAAAAGCAAGCACTCATTTGAATAATATATTTGAAACAAAATTCTTACATTATCTAAAATAAAAAGGAACAAAGATAAAGATCTTTATTATTTTAAAAAGAAAGTTTCTTGGAATATTGGAATATGTAGTTAAAGAAAAAGAAGATTTACAAATAAACAAGAGACTTTTTTTATGCGCCCAATTAGAAGTAATCTTGGGTTGGAAGATAAACATATAAACTGATGAATAAAGATACAATCAAGCAAATTTGGTACATATAATTAGAATCACAATTTCATACTAAGAAGATGGAAGTCTTTCATTTTAAGAGATTTTACATAAGCAAAATAGTTTAATTAACTGTTCTAATATTACAAAGATTTTATGAACAAATAATAATGAAAATTTGTTACATTGTATTTATATCATCCATTTCTTCTAATTGCATGCATAAGGTGAGGTCATTTTGTTAAAAAAATTTTCCTGGAATTTACAAATATCAAAGAAGCCTTTTCCTAAAAAGTGATCCATGATCAGACTAAGGTTATTCTTCAATTGAATGCCTATACAAGATTTATTTCAGTTAGGTGTAATAGTTATTATTAACTCTTATATCATTCAATGGTTAAACTAATCTTTATAGTAATAATATTTTTTTTTCATTAAAATCAAAAGTTCAGAGTTATTTAAATTTCACTGTACTTGTTTTGGATAAGATGAAACTTGTAAAGAAATGTATGAAATTTTAAAACTCAGCTTCATCTTGCTGTTATATTATCAAAAAAGGTACTACCAAAAAGTTTTGGGGAATTTTAACAACTTATACAAACCAAATGTAGTATGAACTTTTGTTGCTACTCTTTGTGAGCCAGCATACAGACGGCAGATAATGGTATACTCCAACAGAGATGGTGAAAACTAAGTGTCAGAGTATGTAATTTTTTCATAGCTAAATTCCCTAAACCACTGAACACTTCCCCCATATCAAAAACAATTTTATTATGAAAAGAAAAAAAAATGAGAGAGAAAGGACCAAACCATTATAGAATTTAAAAAAAAAAAAAAATAATCTATGCAAAAGAATTTTTACAAATGTTTAAGTTGCATGATTTTGAAAACGTTTCTCAAAAAGAATTAATACTATTTTCAATTACAGTAACTAAGATGTTAAATTCTTCATTAAGGTTGATGCTTTTTAATATTATTTTATGCATTTAATAAATATAAATGTATTTGAATAAATTTACTTAGGTTAGTAATTTTACTATTGAAATCTACAACATTAGGGAAAATTTACAAATCTAAGTAAATCCTAAAGTTTTATTTTTGATCTCAAATGAAACTTGTTTTTTAAACTATTACATTTAAAATGCATTTACAAAATATTCAAGTTGCTGCATCTCTAGTTGTTTTATCCTTTCTCTCATAATGTTATTTCTCCCTCTCTGTTTTGTTTTTTTTCCTCTTTCTTTCTCTTTTATTTTTTTTCTTTTACTTTGTCATCTTTCCCTTCCTCTTCCTTCCTGTTTCTTTAAAGTTTAAAAAATCTTTAAGCTACCTTTTTATTTTATCTCCAAACTCCTTGGTGTTGACAAACCTTGCAAGCTTAATTCTTGCGGAGAGAAATAGTTATTCATATGGGTATCTTTGAATTTCAATTATATATATATATATATATATATATATATCATTCATTGAAAATGGCTGACAAGGAAGTTTTAATTAATTTTTTATTGAGTTTTTCGAGCAATCTAACATATTTTCCATTTTTCAGGGGTTAAAGAATATATGAATTGTCCATAGTTATAATTGTTCCAAGCGCTTTTGGCTATTTTTCTAGCCATTATCAAGCATATGTTTTTTTTATGGCTGCTACATAGTAATTTTACAGTGTGGAGCTTGAGTGGTTTGGATGTTTCTTGGCAGTCATTTGCTATGCACAGCCAGTTAAGCAGGGCAAGATTTCTATTTTTAGAACACTTTTAACACGCCATGTCCTGAGATTGATAGTGGGAGAATAAAGTTTGATAAGCAAAGCTTCCCTAATGATGTGCTGTGTACAACTGTGACCTGAAAAGGATCCTTGTATTATCAACTAAAATTTTCCTTAAAGGTTCTTGGAAGTTATGAGTTAATAAATGTTTATTAATCACACTTTGCTGCAACAGGTGGCATGTAAGACATCTACTCAGTGAGGTAGTGGTGGGTCCAATATTGGTCATTGGTTTTTGACAAGTAATACAGTCTTGCAGAGGGCAATGGAATTGATACACTATATTGGTCACTGCTAGTTTAGATTTGATGGGGTTATTTTGGTTTGTGACGACAAAGTTTGTGGTCTTCCATTTTCTATAATATATTATGAACTTTATATTTTCCGGAGGTTACCACAGAAATATGGTGTTTATTGATTTTCCTTATAGCAAATTCATTGTGTTTGTAATTATTGTGCATCTGGTTGCAATAAAATATATTGATGTTTTGCGGTGTTGTATTTTTGTTACAGGTGTCGTGTACTTTTTGTAAGAATAAATTTATTTGCTTATCAATAATGTAGTTTGGAAAATTATTGTTGACTAGTGTTCGTTTTATGTGTTTTAGTTCACCTAGAAATATTCTTTGGGAAGAGGAATTTTTGTATGCTCAATTTATGAAGTTAGTTATCACTGCTATTTTATATTTTTCGGTGCATTGGTTATCATAGTTTATAATACAGGAGTTTTATATATATATATATATATATATATATATATATATATATATATATATATATATATATTACAGATATAAAATTTATCACTTAGCTGATTGATACTATATTCAGTAACCCAACTCCAGAGTTTTGTAGGCGAACCTTTGTGTAATCATTCGGTCTACTCATCAGGAGGTATTAGCAATTGTCTGCCAATTTTCTCATTTTTGTTATTTTTATATTAAGTAATAAAGAAATAATTTATGTACTTTTTATTGGGGTCAGATTGATTTTTTTTCTTCTTTGTGTGTGTGTGTGTGTGTGTGTGTGCATACACCTGTACATGTATCTATGTGCACATGTGTAGAATGTTATGACTATGTCTTACAGAATGCAAAGGCCAGGACCAGAATGGTCAGTGATTGGCCAGGGGGTGACACATAGGTGGGTCATTTTGACAGTGATGAATTGCTGTTGCCTGGGTTCTGAATATGTCCAAAATGGTACAAATTCAACAGAAGGGTCTTGAGAATTCTGATACATTGATATGCCTCCTATACCCAGAGTTGTGACTGGGTAATACCACCCTTGAAGTGATGCTGAGCCAACATGCAACATATGTTCCTGTCAATCCTTTTAGAATCTAAGCTGCCAGGGTTGATAAAACGAAAACCAAAAGTAAATGACTCTTTTCGTTGATAGTGTTTTTATTAACAGTATGGGGATCCTGAGATGACACAGAATGTAACATTTCTTCTTTTCATAATTTTCTTGTCTTATAATCTCCCATTATTCCTTTTCCTTTATTTTTCTATCTTTAACTGCATTTACAAAATATTTGAAAACCATATATATTATCGTAAAAAGAATGGCGCGAGTGCTCAACGGGTTGAAAACCATATATACATATGTAACATATTAAATATCAAACCTACAAGAACAAAACTGATTTTAAAAACAGTGAGACAGGTTGGGGGGATGGTCTGACATTTATAAACATCTATAAAACATCTGAACTTCAATTTGAGAAAAAAACCGACTTAAAACAAAGTGTAATAAAAATTATTTGTTCTATTATCAAATGATTTCATGAAGTGTAAAGTTTTTTTTTTTAGGTTGAAGTTGCAATATTGCAAATGCATGTAAAATGTAAATTCATAAATTGCATTCCTTCTGAGGGTTCAGATTGGTATAATTAATTTACTAACTATTGACATTAATCAATAAGTCTTATATTATTCATTCATATCCAATAAATATATTTTTAGATGCTTAATCAGTTTCTTTCTAGCTTAAATAAGGCTTTTCATAAATTATTTTTCCTGAAGTGATTGGATTAATTGTTATAACTTCAGTCATATGACATTGCTGTATAGCATTTATTCTACTTTTTAATAACTGCATCTGCATAATTAATTATTTACACTTGGACTTGTCTTCAGCAAGTGTGAAGAATTCTTTTCCTCACAAGGACATGCTCTGCTCTCTCCACTATCCTTTTATGCTCTCCTGAATATGACTGATATCTTGGTGGAACTAGCTTAGGTCCCTACATCTGTATAGGGACATCAGGACATCTGTATCAATTTTTGAGAAAAAAATGCTACCATTGGCGTATTGCATTGGGTCCATACAGATTCCATAATTTTTGTCTGAATTTCTGGGATTACATTATTTACACTTGAACTATTAATCTAAGTGAAAATTATGATAACTCCTCATTCCAGAAATTCAGACAGGCGATAATGAGTGTTGAAATATATAAAATATCATTACAGCAGTTTAATATGTTCTGAGCTACAATTCCACAGCCAAATTTTGCTAAGAGCTGACAGTCACACTAATATATTTAATATATTTTGATATCTAATGTGCTTAAAGACAATGCCCAGGGGGAAGAAAGATAGTGTTATACCAATCTTTCAAGCAGAGATGGGTCCTTGCCAAGAAACCTGGTATCTGAAACCCTGGTTTTTACTTTTGTGATACAGTAGGTGTTGACCCATACATATAGAGCAAATAGAGCCCCAAGGAGGCTCAGCAGCAGTCAACAGTTAAATGTAAAAAGACCTGGTTCCATGGTGTAGAACAAGAGAAAAAAAAGTGTGAGAAGTCTTGTTCAATGATTAATTGAGTTAAATATTGAAAAAAAAAAAAAAAAAAAAAAAAAAAAAAAAAAAAAAAAGTTGGTGTCAAGAAATTAGATGGATTTAGAGTTTTTAAGAAATCAAACTAGAATATTAACTTGGAGATAATTCAGTAAATTGATATAACTGCATGTCCATGCATCCACATACTACATTCACTAAATCAAGGAAAATGATAAATAATTTACTTGACAAACATCAAAAATTATTTCTAAAAGCCCTTGAGATTAAGTTTGTTTATATAAAGACCATCATACTGTTATAGTTTCTTAGGCAGAATAATTTTGGAAAAAGGTTTTTCCTAAAAATTCAGCCAAGTCAACCAATGAGCCATGTAGTTTGTTTATATAAAGACATATTCATCAGTGGTCTTATAGGAAGAATAATTTTCACAAAGTAGGCTATCAGAACTCAGTCAAGTGGCTTGCTTGCCATCTCCTTTCCAGAACAAAGGAGACCTTTCGCAAACATTTTTTAATGGCCAAATCATGCCCATGTATTATTGGTGGCAAGTTGGCAGGTTGAATTTCATTATATATATATATATATATATACATACATACATACACACAGATGTATATATATATATATATATATATATATATATATATATATACACACACACAGATGTGGGGGGTGTACTTTAGGGGGTTCCAGTGGTGATGTCATAAGAGATATGAGAGAGTTCTGCTAAGGCTGCCAGAGAGAGAAAACACAGCAGCAGCCATAAGAAGAAACTATCAGATTGTCACCTTAACCTTTAAAAAAGTGGGAGAATGAGCAAACTGATGACAATTGTTCTCCCATCCTTATAACTGTGAACAAGTAATTCAAAGTTCACAACATTATTGCTGTCAAGCAATAGAACTGGGGAAAGGAAGGGTCTCGCTTGAAAAATATATGCAATCAACACATAAAATGAACTAGCTTTGTTAAAATCTTGCTTGGGTAGTCCAGTTTTCTTCATTATTTTAAAATTTTAATCAATCTTAGGAATCTGTTAAATTTAGTTTTGTGTCACATGTGGTTAGCTTTGGTTTGCAATGTTTCAACCTAGGCTTGGAACTTCTTCAGATCAAAGAAAATGTTGTTAGAAGTATCTCCTGTTCAGGACATGGCCAAACCAGTGATTTAAATAACTGTCTAATGCTTCAAATCATAGTGCTATATTTAGTGACTAGAACAATGAGTAACCTCCCTGACAAAGTTACCCCTTGGATTAGACACCAATCTCTAGAGACTGCATAACTATTTTAGTCATAATAGAATGAAAATTAAAAAAAGAAGTTTTTATTTATAGTTAACATCTGAAGCATGCTGTTAATTAAAGCAAATTTCTAAGTACATACCTGTTTGTGTTCTCGTCTTGATAATGTTTTGCCATTGAGAAGTGACCACAATAATCGTATGCTGATTTTTATATCTATGAACATTAACCGAAAGCCATGGTAGTAGTGTTTCACCTCATCCACAAAGCGTACCCATAACTTTTTCTTGGGTAATGCAAGTTCTTTGTCTTGAACTGGTTCCAATCCAAACAATTTTTCATTTGTTGTCTTTAACTCCGCTTGAGCAGCTTTTTCTGCTGCCGCTTCTTTCAATGCCTTCACAGTCTGTTCGACTTTGGATTCCTCTTTTGAGTTAGAAACACTGTTATGTATACGCCTATATAATAGATCTTGCTGAGGTATAGTAGAATGTAACTCTATGCTGCATATAAGATATTTGGATTTGAAATATTGAGTTGGCTGAGAAAGTCTTTGGTTTTGTTTTGCATAATGTTGGTGAACATGATAGGAAATACCAGCCTGTGGCAAGATCCTTCTCTCATAGTGAATCCGTGAGTGTAATTTTATGTATCGGCTGAAACAAAAAGATGATAAAGAAAAGCGGGGGAAAAAAAAAAAAAAAGAGACGTTTCAGTAAAAGATTTTTCAAGTTCATATTTTTTAATTTTCCATCATATGACAATATAATCATTTTTAAAAACCACAGATTCTTAATTATTAGAAAAGAAAAAAGATTAAAATCCTGAATGAACCATTAATTGATTCAAAAGTGTTCTAAACTACTTGATGAGATATCCTGCAATAATTTTTTTTTATTCTGTGCCTTTTTACTCTGGTTGTGAATTAGAGTGATTCAGTACAATTTATGATGAAGATGGTGAAAGCAATGATTATCCTAGACTTAATTTTCCTTGTTTTCCGGTGTTTAACTATTGTCTTTTGTGTGTAGTAGCAACCCAAATTTTTCTTGGAGTGGTTTACTACTACACACAAAATACAATGGAAAAAGATGAGAATTAATCACTTTTAATAATATGTAGAAATAACAACTCTTTGCCTGATGAAGGTTGCGAGACTGGAAAAATGTGTAACAAAAATATGAAAAATAAAGTATATGTATTTTAAAAAATCCACATAATGACCAAAAACATTTGCGGTTTCTCTCTTCTCTTTAAGATATGCACTTTTATTTCATTGGAACAACTATAACCTCTTCCTTTTATATCTATATATATCTCCCAAACAAAAAAAAATAATTATATAAAAAAAAAAAAAAAAAAGAAATATAACAAATACCATTGGCAATAAATTCATCAGGCTTTTATTATTTCAATTTTTTAATTTTGTTTCATTGATGATTAAAAACTTGATGCCTGTATTGAGTTTGAGTCAAAATTATGATCAAATTATGAAATGTGTTTTAAACAACAGCAATCAATTAAAGAAGTTTGAAAAATTAATCTTTAAAAATTGTTTCAATCTTAGTAGTAATGTATTTCTACACACATGAACATAATGAAAAGCTACACTTAGAACGTTTCTATCACATCACATTTTCTAGATTCACCATGTTAGGTTTGGTGCTGTTTACGGTAACAAATTTAATTCTTTCTGAATCCAATGTAGATTCTTGGTTATGATGCCCCAAATGTAGAAAAAATATAAGAATTTGTGTATATATGTATCCTAACTGCTGTCCTAGTGATATATACATAACATTTAAGTCTATCTGCAGCAATTTTTCATCTGAGTGAATTTCTACATAATCAAGCTTAACAGTCGGAGCAGAGATTGGAAGGTTAGACCCATATGTACAAGGTTTTATTGTTGATGGAAGTGATTTCTTGCTCATTCTTTTCATTGTATCCCTAAATTTTTTCAGGAACAAAAATAGCAAAATCACTACTTTGATTGTTTTGGTTCTTTTTATATCATTGGAATTACAGAAGCAAGAGATTTCTTTTCCATTTTTGTCTGTAGTATTAGTATACACAAACAAAGCTAACATCTTGAGGGGGCTCATTTTGTAGGCTGGTCTCCAAGGTTTATTCCAAAGTAGGCATAATATACTTATTTAAAAAAAAAAATCCATGTTTGTTTCTTTTTGCTACAAAGTTTCTACAAATATATATGAAAAAAAAATCAGGACTGTTAACTCAAACTCAAGATGCCATAAGTTAACAGCTCAACAATATTTTATCTGTAGAGAAATAACAACAATTAGTATCAATATATCACTAATGCTTTGAGACCAGACTATGTAACACTAAAGTCCAAATGCTAAACATGCTGTTTTCTTATGGCATGACTAATCCCTATTGTGTTCCTGATATATTCAATATTAAATTAACTATTGTTTAAAATAGGTATATCCGTGAGATCGCTGGAAAATGAGCATAGCTTGATAAAAACGGCCTTAAACTTGACGAAAGCAAAATTTTATCGTTAAAAGGTTTAAGTCGCTATTAAGAGAAAAGAACAAAATAATTTTTAGTTATTTTTAAAAAATTTTCTGTCTTTATTAGAACATTCTAACTTTTGATTGAAAAACCTTGTTTCTCTGCATCACCGGAACTCGTAGTAAATAACATGGCAAATTTTTTGTGCTTTTTTTTTTTTTTATGACAGACATTAATTTTGAAAATCTTGCAAAAATAGAAATAATTGTCAGATTTTAATTAAACTTACAGAAATGATGGAAATTATTATAAATGTTTTTTTTTTTTAAGTTATGATAAATAAATTATATATATATATATATATATATATATATATTACCACCCATAAATAATTTAATGAAAACTCTAGAAAAAATGTTGAAGCACGCAAAGTCATTATATTAGTTAAAAACAAGGCTTTGAGGAAAGTAAATCAGGTTTTGTTTAAAAATCCTACCTTGTCTACCTAAAATCAGCTATGAATTGTAACATACAAAACTCAATAAAACAAAGATATTATTTAATTTCAAATGCTTTTAGTTGCTTTTTATGAATATGCATAATATTGTCTGAAGGCAAAAAAAACGTTTTTAATGAAAAAAATAATTTTTAAAACAATTGTTATTTCTTAAATTATTTAATTAGTCTACATTAAAGTTGTTAAATATTGTAAAATTAGTGGAAATGTCAAATCCTTTACTTAATGTTTTTTTAAGTACCTCTAGCTGTACATATTATAAATTGCACAAGCTTTTTATAATCCACGAACCACCAGTTAGAAAAATCTTACTGTTCCTTGCCTTTATGTCAATAAAAATGGTTATAATTCAAATGTACAGAAGCCTGGAAGAAACATGATACAATAAAAACAACAAGTGATTAGATTTTGTATATAAATGTTGTTCAGCACTGTTAACAGCCTTTACATTTTTACATTTACGATGGGTGAAACACATGTTGAGAAGTTTTACTTAAAAAAAACCCAAAAATTGAACTATATATCATCCTATATACAACCAAGTAGCAGCAGAAAATTTTGAAAAGTAAGTAAAAATAATGAGGTAATTAAATTGTTCACGTAAAGCTAAACTGTCACTTGTGACCTTCCATACTATAGCATTTTCTCCTGTAAGATGTCAGTGTGAGATGAAATCACGCACATGTCACTTGTCAATCAACACCGCTGTTATGATTGGCTTTCTCTTATTTTAAAGCACATTTTTCAGTGCAGAAAGTAAGTAATGTTTGTTTCAAAATATATTAAATAAACTTTATAATTTCTAATTTTATCAAATTAATTTTTTAAAAAAATCATAATTGATATTTTAAAAGAATTTTAAACAGAGACTTTCACTTTTGTAAACAAAAGTTTTAAAAAATGGCTGACAATTGATTTTCTGTCAATTTTGCTAATTAAAAAAATACAAGATTTTTAACGAAAATTTTGGACGTGCTAGAAATTATTAAAAAATGTAAAAAAAAATAATCAAAAAATACTTTGATCTTTCCTCTTAATAATAACAAACATTTAGACAATAAAAAAAATTATTTTCATCAAGTTTAAGGCCTTTTTTTAATCAGGCTATGCTATTTTTTATGGATCTCATGAACATACCTAGTTTAAAACATGGATTTAATACTAATATGTACTGAATTCAAACATATTTTAATTCAAATAAAATATCCATATAAAACATGTGAACTTATAAAAACAAAATAATGTTTTTGTGAAAACAAATAAAAAAATTAAAAAATAAAGAAGAAGTTATATGAAGGAGAAAATGGCTTCCATTTTTTAATTTAGCACTTTAAATTATATTATATAAAAATCACCTGAAATAAGCATGTTTTTAGTGTATATATCTGTGTTATTTGTATTGGTTACATCATTTTTTTTAGACCATCATAACCAATAGAAACTGTTTTGTTAGCTTTGAAAAGACTAGTTAGCTTCAGAATAGGGGAGAATATTCAATAAAATAGAATATAGGCTTCTCAAAAGTATGTCATATAAAAAAAAAAAAAGAGAGAGAAAAGATTAACTGGCTTGTATAGAAAGAAAATATTCAGTAGATCCTGACTCTGCTAATGAATGTTTCAGCTTCTCACAAAATCTGTTAATAACAGCTCTTTACAAAACAATTGTTTAAAGATGAAAATCTTATTTAATGATAAACCACTTTTTCTATAACCTCCAAGAAGCTGGTTGGATCATATTTACAAATTTTTCAGTTATAAAGTTTATTTTATTTTCATTTATTTAGACAAAGTAGATTAAAAATTATTTACAAAAACACATTATCACAAGATAAAAACAGCAAAACCGCCAAAATATACACCACTATTTTTAATACTTTCTATAAATTTTTGATTTTCAGAGAAATAATATATATTTGAATTTCATATTATCATACTATATAAGAATGAAATGTCAATGGTCTTCTTATACCAATAAGGCTGTTTCAATTGATAATTTTGATTAACACTTATTCTCACAGAAATTACCATCAAGTGGTATCAATTATAATTGCAAAGAGAAAAAATATAAAAGTTAAAAAAGAAAGAGAAAGCAAGAAATAGTCAGCCAAATTTTAAAATTTATCTTAAATGCAATAAATCATTTAAGCTGTCATAGTAAGAGAAGGTAATAAATTAGGGCAAAGGGTGCCAAAGTAGCTGTCTCAGTTGAAGAAAATGTAGACAAAG